TGTGGACCACATCAGGGCACATGGCCCCAGCACTACCACCCCCATGAGAGGGCTTCACTCCTCTGCAGTGAATGGTGAATGGAAGGGCAGCACAGGATGTGTGTGTTAAGTTCTCTTTTGTTAGGACTGGATCTTTCCTATCTTAGGGTTCTGAGGCACGCACTAGTCTATAGAATGATGGTGAAGTAGAGTAACACTCCCTGTTAATTCCAAAGTCTTCTGAGTAAGAAGCCAGTGCTATGTCAATCCTGTTTATGGTTTCAACTCTTTTTTTTTTTTCTTAAGATTTTATTTATTCATGAGAGACACACAGAGAGAGGCAGAAACACAGGCAGAGGGAGAAGCATGCTCCATGCAAGGAGCCAGATGTGGGACTCAATCCCAGGACACCAGGATCACACCCGAGGCCGAAGGCAGATGCTCAACTGAGCCACCCAGGCGTCCCTATGGTTTCAATTCTGTATCCCTTACGTGAAGCTCTACACAAGGACTATTTTAAATGGAACCCCAGAAAACAGGGAGGGCGCAAATCTGTAAAACTCTTTATAGATACAACTTCTTGGAATATATCTGAGGGTGTGGCTTTCAGTTTTATTTCACTTCTGATTCTGATTGGATTGACCTTGATTCTGCTGAATATTTCCCCAATAGTCACATAGACATATACTTTGTCACCTGCAGGTGCCTGAAGTCTTTTGTGGAGAGAAGTAGACGTAAATCATTATTTATTTACTCTCTAAAGAACTTGACCGGTGAAAATCGGCCCAAAAGTGTGATGAGCTCAGCACACACATATGGCTGAAATCTGACCTAGCAGAGCTGTGCTCAGGGTGGCCCGGGGCTATGGGCTCCACCTGTCTTCTTCCTCCTGTCTAGTGTCTCATCATCTTATCAAACAACGCAGCCCTGTCTCCAGGATCAGCATACTATGTCTTCTCCTCTCCCCTGTGTGATAACCAGGGGTCACCACACCTGGAGGCCTGGGTTCCCAGCCTGCCCCTGACTCAATCACCCCAAAAGTGCTCCCCTGACTTCCCCAGAAGGAACCAGTCAGCTCTCTGCTCCTCCTCTGCCCTCTAGAGTCATTGGGACTAGAAGCTCTTAAAGGCACTGTCCAAACCCTTCTTCCGTATATATTCCCAAGACAGTAAATAAGTCAAGAAGTAAGTAGCTGAGGTTACTTTTTATTGATTAAGATAAAGCAGAACACGTGTACTACATACTTGTGCATTTGGAGAGCAATGAAAAGAGAAGAGTTACAGTTATTTAGTTGTTCAAAAAAAAGCCCCAGAATCCTTCTCTGTCTCCTGGGATCACCAGCACACAGGGGATGTCACTTGAGCAGGGCCAACCTTCTAAGGCTTAGGAGCTCTACAAGGGAATAGGGGAGTGGGAGAGGGGGCTAGAGCAGGTCTTCTATACATCCTGGCAGCTGGACTTCACCAAGGAGGTCTTGCCCAGCCAGGGGACAGTGTATACCTGGAAAGAGCAGAGCGTTTTCTGTGAAAGGAGAGAGAGAAAGATAATTAGGGTTACAGGAAAAAGCTCAGCCTGGAGAAGTCAGAAGCACAGGTGAGAAAGGGTGGTGGGATTCTCAGGCCCCACCCTGCTTTGCCCCAGAACGCTAAGCAGGGGTTCGCAGTGACCCCACCCACTCAGTCACCCCACCCACTCCTTAAGTCCAAGACATGGGATCCTGTTTCCTAACTCTAACCAGCAGGATTCCACCAGCTCATTCCCCCTGCACATCCCTTTAAGGTGCAGCCTGTGCAAGATCACAGAGCCCTTGAGGGACAGGGCGCTGCCCCCAAGTCCTCTGCATGTCCAGTGGGCCAGGACTAAGACAGGTATACAGGGACAGGGACCAGAGTTCAGAAAACACCCAAAGACATAGGGAATAGGGTAGCTATGGGAGGAGTACGGCTTCCTCCACTAGAGAGACTAGTATTTGGTGAGAAGAGCAGGATCAGAGGGTTTTGGCTGCTTATAGGTCTGTAATTCTCTCTAATCTGTTCAGATGGCCAAGACTGGGATTAAGAGGTCATCTCTCTTTCCAGCAAACACCCCACAGTCCTCCACAAGCAACAATCCACACAGTGCACAATGCCCCAACTCATCAGCTAAAACCCACTTATAAACTCAAATTAGTCATGTGCACACACATACAACCTTCCCCCACAGGTACCCTGACACCTGCACACCCACATCCCAAGCACATCATATACAACGCATCTCACAGGCACATACCCTCATCAGGTGTGGCTGGTCATGAAAGGGACAGTTGTCCAAGTTGGGCTGGGACTTGGTACATGTTGTTCGTCCAATCTCCACCTCCAAGAAGTAGTTCATCCCAGACACAACCTGTACACGTAAAGAGCAGGATTTGTTTACATCTGCCAATTTCACACACGTGTAGTTACCTTCCTGCTATGGGGGGCCCTCATAACAGCATTCATTGTTGTCAAAGCAGGTACCTTGGAAAACCATAGCCACCTTCTGAGGACTGGCCCAGCAGCTGTACCCAGAGCCTTCTTGTAACTTGTTCACAGAGAGGCTCCAGAAGGTCTCAGGCAGCCTGGCAGGAGGAGAAGCAGGAGGATAGAAGGTGGAAGCCAGGGACCAAAATTCTGTTACCTGGGTTTAGGAGGGAAGGTGCGCTTTGGGAAGCCAGATGGGAGCTGATAAACCTCTCCAGTTCCAGGAGCCAGGAAGGGACTAAGCACACAGCAAGGGCTCTGTGCTGAAACAGCGGATCTGGCTCAGGAAGATGATCATGTGACGGGTACATCTTAGCTTATTCCAATTAATAGGGTCAACCTATACATTTTCACATTTCCTCAGTGTAACAAACGTTTATTTATTCCCTCATTTCGCAGTAGGAAACGAGAGGCCTCTCTCTCGTTTGTGTTTTAGCCAAATAAAACCCTGTCCCTGGAATCTGGAATGCCTGCCTTTTACGTGTGATTTTTGATGGGAGTATTTCTGAAGTGTGTCACACATCTGCCTGTCTTCTACATTTGACATTGCATGATAGATGCAATGATAGACCTAGGACCAGGCTCCACATCTTATCTGGTGGAACCACAAGCAGGTCCCATGATCCCTCTGCTGTTACTCTCCCCAATGAGCTGTGATGCCAAGCCAGTGCTGCAATGGAGAGGAACAAGTTGGGGGACTTAGGAGCAGGGAGCACACATCCCATCCAAAGCACTCAGCGCCAGCCACAGCTGCAGGGGAGAGGGGAGAAACGGTCTGTTCTGGTCCCACCTTGTGAAGTTTGAAGAGAAGGTGGAAATGCAGGCATGCACTTCCAGGCTTTTGTTGCTCTGAGGCTCTGTTCTGCTCTCCACGAGGCCACAGATCAGCTGGCCTGAATCCTAGCCACCTTTACAGGATAAGCACAAAGCCCAGTGGCCCTTCCTGACACCCCCTCCCACCCCCTTCTGGACTCTGGTGACTATGCTCCTTATCTGACCAGAACTCCAGGGCAGGCTGGCAGAGGCAGGGGTCAGGAGCAGTCCACTCAACTACCCCCTGGGTGATGGTGATGGGGGGGGTGCATATTGGGACGGGGACTGTGATGGCACACATGAGAGGCATATTCCCGTGGACATGCCCTGTGGAGGGAAGCAACACTCCAGGGCTTTCCACCAGGATGTCTGGACAGGTCTGAATTCATATGACAGACCCTCTGCTCTGAGATGCACTGGGTACCACAGCCCAGCTCACTGGCCCATCTGTGTTTGCTGACAAGCCTCTGTCTGGGTGCTCAGGGAGCAGCCAGGGCCTCACTTCAGGGAGGATGTTTGCTATGGGCCCCAAACTCCATCACCGGAGGAGGACATGGAGGCCAGGATAATTTAGGGGGACCTGTTAAGAGGAGGCCCTAAGGAGAATGGGCCTCTTCTGTGTAACCCCAATCATCTCAAGGAAACATGATGGCAATTCAGTGTGCCCCAGTGTGCACCACAACTGGCTGGATCCTTCAAAAATGCCAAGGTCATAGATGGAAGGGGGTCCAGAGGAAAGGAGGCTGCAGGACAGTGGCCGCAGCACACGGCCTGGCCGTCCTGGCTATAGAGGACATCGGTGGGGCAGTCAGGGACATCTGAGTAAGGTCTGTGGAGCAGATGATCACGTCAGTTTTGGTTCTGATTTCTGAAGCGTTCCTGTCGCTAGGTCAGAAAATGCCCCCGTTCCTCGGGAAAGCACACTGAGGTGGAAACTCTCCAAAGACTCAGTAATACAGAAACACCAATGCATATACCCCCCTGGACACACGTGTGCGCCCGAGGGAAAGCGAAATGGCAAAGCTTTAACACACCAGGAATCTAGCGTAGGATCTACAAGGCTCTTCGGCACCATTTCTGCCACCGCTTTCCCAGTCTGAAATCCAAGGTTACAAGAGCGTCTAAAGAATCGCTCAGCGGCCGAGCGGGAAGGGCGGCCGGGTGTGCCCTGTTCTTCCCTCGCCCGTGCTCAGGGGCTCGGGGTCGGATTCGGGCGCCCCGACCCCCGCGCGCGGACTCTGAAAACACAAAGGGAGGCGATGGGGCGCCCGGCGGCGCCTGGTGCTCCCGGGCCCGCGCGCGTCAAGTGCGGGCTGGGGGCGGCCAGGGCACCGACGGCCGGGAGCCGGGGCCTCCGCGGTAGCCACGGCAGCCCCGGGACCGGGACCCGGGCCGCGTCCGCACGGCGCTGGGCCGAGCGCGGGCGTCAGGCGGCGGCGCCCGAGGACACGCACCTGCTTGCGGGCGCGCAGCACTCGCACGGCGCGGCTGTGGTAGGCGTCGTTGCTCGCCCGGTTGTACTCGCGGACGGCGAAGTCCAGCGCCTGCTGCACGCCCTCCTCCTGCACGTCCGCGTCCATCGCGCCGCCCACCGCGCCGCGCCTGCTGCCTCTCCAGCCGGCCCCGGGGCTCGCGGCCGCGGCCGCGGCCAAGGCCAGAGCGAGGGCCAGGGCGGCCAGCAGGAGCGGCGGGGTGCGCGGGCGCCCGGCCATGGTGCGCTCGGAGGCGGACGAGCTCCGGAAGGCGACGCCCCGACGCAGCGAGCGGCGCCCCGGCTCCGGGCTCCTTTATCCTCCGCCCCGCGCTCCGGCCGCCCGCCCCGGCGCCGCCCCTTCCGCTCCCGGCCGCTCCGCCCCGGCCCGGGCCTTGCCCCCGGGAGGCCTCGCCCGCTCGCGGCAGCGTCTCGCCCAGCGCCTCCGTGCCCCCCGGCCCCCCGATCCCGGCCCCACCCGGTCAGCCTCTCGCAGCCCCCCAAGTCCCGCGCCCCTTCCAGGCGCCTCCGCGCGCCCACGTCCTGCCCCGCCGCAGGCCGGCCCTCCGCCGCCTCCCTGCCCCCCGCCGCCTCCTCCTGCCCCCTCCCGCCGCCTCCCTCCCGCCCCCTCCCGCCCCTCCCCCCTCCCCCCCTCCCGCCGCCTCCCTCCCTCCCCCCTCCCGCCGCCTCCCTCCTACCCCCTCCGCCGCCTCCCTCCCTGCCCCCCGCCCCCTCCGCCGCCTCCCTCCCTACCCCTCCGCCGCTCCCTCCTGCCCCCTCCGCCGCCTCCCCCTGCCCCTCCCGCCCCCTCCCGCCGCTCCCTCCCTCCCTCCCTACCCCCCTCCCGCCGCCTCCCTCCCTCCCGCCCCCCTCCGCCGCCTCCCTCCCCCTACCCCCTCCGCCGCCTCCCTGCCCTCCGCCCCTCCGCCGCCTCCCTCCCTCCCCCCCCCCGCCGCCTCCCTCCCCCCGCGGAAGCCCCCCCCCACGCCGGCTCCCCTAGCGGCTCCCAGGCTTGGTTACTCCTGTGGGTCCTGCCCCGACTCCAGATGCGGGGCCCCCAAGCTCGTGGTGCTCTTGCAGAAGGTGTCACTCCTCCCAGGGCCCGCCGTGCGAGTGACCCCCAGCCCTGCCTCCTGGGAAACGGGAAACAGCGCCCCGGACGTCCTGGGGGGCTCAGGACTGGGGCTCAGGCTAGGACTTCCCAGAGCAGGGGGTTGGTTTCAGAGGCCAAGGAAGACTGCGCTTTGCTCTGGGGAACTCTTTTGCAAAACATAAAAGAATTAGCCTTTATTTGGGAAAAGGTCACTGGCTTCTCTTTTTCACAACGCACTTATTTATTCAACCAACAAACCCAGAAGGCACTTCTCCCTGGCCATCAGGTCTCCGGCCTGTACGTGGAACATGGGCTAATGAGCCTTGGACTTCTTGTCACGGGGCAACTGTCCAAAACAGATGGAATGTGAACTATGTGTGACTTTGCATTTTCTAGCACACTAAAAAGAGACAGATGAGAATAACATTTTTTTATTTAACCCAGCATATCCAAAATATTATGTCAACCTACACAGGCAATTATTTAATGGGATATTTTTATGTTCTTTTGTGTGTGCCAAGCATTTGGAATCCTGTGTGTATGTTTCACACTCAGAGCAGATGTCAAATCAGATGAGTCTCATTTCGAGCACCCCATGGCCAAGCACAGCTGGTGGTTGTGATGTTGCACAACCCAGATTTAGGGTGTGTGTGTAGGGTGGAGGGCAGTGATCAGTAATTACCATCAGGGAGTGGTAGGTGTTCTGTTGGAAGTGAAATAGAAGGGATTGCTAGAAAAAGGTGCTACTAACATGGTCAGGGAGGCCTCCTGGGGAAAAGAGGCAGTTCAGCAGAAACCTGCAGGACAAGAGGTCTGCTGAGACCATGGAGAGACACTAAGACCTGGACATGGTAGCTGGGTATGGTGTGGGCTAACAGATCCTGCAGTTCAGGACTGTATACATCTGTGCTCCAATATGGCCTCAGGAGGGAGTGGGCAAGGGCTTTCTTAGTTATAGAGAAAGAAGTAGATACACAGAGCAGGGAAAGAGGGGGCTGCCCCTAGCCAGGTACTTCTGAGCAGTAGTGGCTATCCCCTGAGTAGGGATGGGTTTGTACTGTGGTTTCCCCACCCACACAGGACACCTAGTCCTCTAGTCTTTGAAGGGTATGTTGCACAGAGGGTAAGCTGAAATGCAAGGGACTTTTTCATCTTTTGTTATTAGGAAGGAAGTGCAGGGCACCCAAATAGCCGGAGCATGATGGCAGATGTGAGTGTGGTAGAGGGTTGTGATTCAACACATGCTATTACACTGCCTATATATAATTTCTATTAGGACTCTGGCATGTGCCAAATCTCTAATCCTAACAGAGAGTGCCTGTAGAAGCTACCAGAGTACCTATAGTATATCTGATAAGAAGCGGAAGGCTGCACATCCACCTCAGCTGTTTGAATGACCTCGGGAAAATGTAACAAATTGGGCGAGGTGGGCTTCTCTGTTAACAGTAGTGTCTGGGGGTCAGAATCTACAGAGATGAGCAAGCTTCAGTGTTGATACTTCAACCTGGTTTAAAATGATGGAGCAGCCCATGCCCTCATCTGTAACCTCCAGCTTCAAAGATAAGCTAGCAGAGACCCAGAGAGAAATAATGAACTCAAGACTGAGGCACAAGGCTTCCAGCACTCGTGTACCGCGAAGGAAAGAGCACATGTGTCCAGGAGGCAAGCAGGTTTCCCTTCTGCCAGATGAAGAGAGAAACCCTTTACACAAGGCTGCTCATGTGGCTGTTGATGCCATGATCTGAACTAGTAGAGAAAGAAATTGAGAGAGTGACAGACATTCTCTGTAATATATAAAGAAGTGAATATTTAATAGTACTATAATAAATGACCAAGTACATAAAACAGCACCTAAACTAGCATGTCAAGTTGACCAAGAATTGAGTTTCTGAACATTTAGGCTTCTAAAACTTGCAGTGAAAACTTGGTGTAAAGCATTTAGGGCTCTAATAGGGATTGATTCCTGGTCATTATAAAACTGTGATGCTCACAGGCAAGCCTGTTGACAGCCGCTGTAGAAAAAGGCAAGAGAGAGTACAGTGGCCAGTATCTATTTTGCATTTGCATAAGGAAGCAGATAATCCTTTAGAAGCTTTTGCTCAGGGTCCACCTATTGCTTTACATTAGGAGTTACCATTTAATTTCACAACAGCACACTGATCAGAGCAGCTCTGGTGTCTGCAGCACCACAGCCAATGGGGGCGGGGGTGGGGTGTTGGGGGCAGGGAGAGGGCTTCCAGGGACACAGGCCTGTGGCTTGTGCAGCTGGGCGCTCTGAAGTCTCTCTGAGCTTGAGCCCTGGCGACAAGGAAAATAAGATGGATCTGAGTCAGGTTGAGCAATCCCCTTGGGATCTCTATATGGTCAGTTTCCTTTCCTAATCCATGCTGTAGTTGTTGCTCTGCCTTCCCTCTCAGAGTTTGTGCAAACTTGAATTCCAGTTTCTTTGCAATCTTCACAGGGCAGCAGAGGGATTCCTGCTCCAGCCTGGTATAGCATTGGAACTGGTGCACTGGATGTTGGATCTTGACCTCTGAGGCCACTGAGGGCAGCCCTGCTCTCTCCGTGGTGTCCCTGGGCTCTCCTTCCTGCCACTCACAGAGGAGCTGGACCTAGTGACAAGGATTGACTGAGTTTTAGTGATGCTCCTCCAAGCCGCCTCTCCACTAAGGCTGGGCCTTGCCCAGTCTTATCCCTGCCAGCTAGCCTGCTTAACCCTGTCCTAGTAAGAATGCCCTCAACCTTGATATCTGTTCAAGTTCATTACCCCCACCTTTGATGTCTAGTCCTTTGAGAGAGTCTTGTTAGGTTAGTGTAGTAAAAAATACCCCCTCTCCCTGCCCCCCCCCCCACCTTGGATGTGAAACTCTATTTATCCTTGCTGTCTTCAGAGTTGAGCTCAGTCTTTCTCTCCTGTTTGGATAATCTTGACCCCTGTTGCAATAGTATTGAATAAAGTCTTCCTCAACATTTTAACAAGTATCAGAATAATATATCTTTTACACTGGCAGCTGGGATCCCTGGGTGGCGCAGTGGTTTGGCGCCTGCCTTTGGCCCAGGGCGTGATCCTGGAGACCCGGGATCGTGTCCCGCGTCGGGCTCACGGTGCATGGAGCCTGCTTCTCCCTCTGCCTATGTCTCTGCCTCTCTCTCTCTGACTATCATAAAAAAAACAAAACAAAACAAAATAAAAAAAAAAAAAACACTGGCAGCTAACCAGGCCAGTGCTCTGTGCTACCGCTGGTTTGTCTGGAATGTAGTGAAAATACTGTTGACACGTAGGAGCCAAGGGGCATGTGATGGTGGAGGGGAGTAAGAAAGGAAGGGGAAATTCAGAGGCAGATGGGGTGGGCAGACGGGGAGGGCCCAAGGTGAGGGGAGGAAATCCAGAGGGGGATGCATTTTCCCTGACATCATATTATGAACACACTCAAATGCGCAACAAAGTCAGAAGAGTTTTATAGCAAACATTCATATTCCCACCACCTGAATTCTAGCATTAATTTGTACTTTACTTATTTATCACATGTCTATCCACCTGTCCATCTCCCTATTCATCCATCAACCTATCTTGTTTTCATGCATTTTGAAGTAATTTAAAGACATCAGTATATCTCACCTCTAAACACAAGCATGAATAACATGGACTAGAGGTCAATATTTATTTACAAATTTTTCATTTGTTGTAAAATTTACCTATAGTAAAATGCACAAATCTTAAGTATACATTTACTTTATGTTAACAAATGTATAGCCCTATGTAACCAACCTCCTATCAGGTACAGAACATGACTATCACCCAGAAAGTTCCCTTATTCCTCTTCCCAGTCATTTTGGGCCCTTACCTCCAGAGACAATGGCTACACTGATGTTATTCTATTTTTTCACTATAGATTAGTTTTGTATATTTTTAAATTTCACATAAATGGAATTCTATGTTATTGACGTCTCTGGGTTTTTTTTGTTTTGTTTTGTTTTCACTCATCTTGATGTTTTTGAGATTCATCTCTGTTGCATAAGTTGTACATAGGTATAACTTTCAAAAAGGATTTATCAGTAGCAGGCAATGCTGTTTAATGGATTGCATTTTACGGACAGTAGAACTTTCAGAGCTGGAGTCAATTCTCTCAAATCCTGCCTCTGCTTTATCAAGTAAGTTGGTGTCATCTTCTAAGTCTTTTGTTATCATGTCAACAATCTTAATAGTGTCTTCACCAGGAGTAGAGTCCATCTCAAAAATCACTCTCTTGGCTTATCTGTAAAAGTTTTACCATGAGATTGAAGCAACTCAGTCTCATCTTCTGGTTCAAACAGTAACACCAAAGATCCCTGATCGCAGGTAACCAGAATAAGTCTGAGAATAATGAAAAAGTTTGAACTATTTCAAGAATCACCAAAACATAACACAAAGGGAACAAATGCTGTGGGAAAATGGCACCAACAGACTTGCTGCATGCAGAGCTGCCACAGACCTCCAGTGTGAAAGATGCAGCATCTGAGAAGCACAATAAGACGAGGTATGCCTGATTGTGAGCTCAGCCTTGGATTGCCACAGGGAGCCTCCTCCAGAAGAGTCTCGGGAGGGTCTCAAGCATGGCACTAAGACATTGCTGCCACACCAAGGCGGCCAGCCCTGATTACCTGGAATGGTGGCTTCTGCTTCTCTTCCTTTTTCCTTTTTAACCTCCTCTCCCCTGCTCTCCTCTCCCCTGTCTTCCTCCTTTCCTCCTTCTCACTACTTTTAGTTTTTGGGAAAAAGCACCATGAGTAGTGGAAAAACCTGATTTTAAAAGACAAAGCGGGACTCCTGGGCGGCTCAGGGGTTCAGCGTCTGCCTTTCGTTCCGGGCATGATCCTGGTCCTGGAATTGAATCCCGCATCAGGCTCCCTGCTTGGAGCCTGTTTCTCTCTCTGCCTCTCTCTGTGTGTCTCTCTTGAATAAATAAATAATTTTTTTTTTAAAGAGCAGATTTATCCAACTCTTCCCCATATTTGAAAATAAAAGTTCTCTATTTTTTAATCCAACTAGTACAACGTATTTAGTATAAAAACAAATGAGAGAACAAAAGTATGAAGAATATAAATTATGTGTGTGCATGTCACTGAACCTGTGTACTGAATGTACTTATGCAGGGTTTACCACACTGATCTCATGTGATGATTGTAATTCAATGCTGCTTTTCTGCATTGTCATTATGTCATGAACATTTTCATGTGTTAAATCATTTTTGAAAACTCTGCACTATCAATTAAGTGTCTATGTTGCTAAGGTTAGCTATTAATAAATAACTCAAGTTATCAATCAATCAATCATACTGATTAATAAGTATTCAGCTAGTTATTCCATAGCTTAGCTTTCTTTCTAATGCTAGACATTTAGGCTGTTCACAGGCTTTCCAACCCTGCAAAATGACTAATAATGTGATACACACTAATATAGGAAAAAATATCCAAAAAATATTTTGGATTTTTTCTTCCTAGAATTGAAAATACCAAGTCAGAGAACAAGAATTTCCTGTCCCATTCTAGATCTTTCTAGTTGAACTAATAATCAAATTAACAAGACAAATTAACAGGAGAAAATTAAATCTAACTTTGCTTTTTTTTAAAAAAAAGTTTAATTATTCATGAGAGACACAGAGAGAGGCAGAAACATAGGCAGATAGAGAAGCAGGCTCCCCGTGGGGAGCCCAATCCCCTGGACCCGAGATCAGGCTCTGAGCCAAAGACAGCCACTTAACCACTGAGCTACCCAGGCATCCCTCAAATTTAACTTTGTATGTATGGGGAGTCCGTACAGATAAAGAAATTACAAGGACAGGGCTGAAGTCTAGGACTTCAAAGGGAAGGACTATAATTCTCAGGGAGAATGAAAACGAATGTTTGGTAACAAATGTTAGCTGGGCCTGCAGAAACATGTTAATCAATCATGGGACACAGAATATGTTAATCAAACGCATCTTGCTAGGTTCCTCCATCTCATACCCAGTTTATATCAAAATGTACTTATTTATGATGATAGCTCTCTTCCTGCAGCAGGCCTTCCATCTTTTAGTCAGTTGCAGGGGAGGTAAAGAGCTTTCCTTCATATGCTAGGTTTTGATTGCTTAATTCAAAATAATCTTTTTTTTTTTTTTTATGATAGGCACACAGTGAGAGAGAGAGGCAGAGACACAGGCAGAGGGAGAAGCAGGCTCCATACACCAGAAGCCCGACGTGGGATTCGATCCTGGGTCTCCAGGATTGGCCCTGGGCCAAAGGCAGGCGCTAAACCGCTGCGCCACCCAGGGATCCCAATTCAAAATAATCTTAACTGCAAAGTGGTCCATCTTGGAGTGGCCTGCCCTTGGCCCCACAAAGGTTACAAAGACTTTTTGGGTACAGACTGTCGAAGTTCCTTAGGAAGATATGTCTGACTTACACAGGTTCAAGTACTAAAGAGAAAGTTCTTGGTCAACAGCAGCATTTTGTGCTTATTTTACTTGCGAATATCTACAAGTGCAGTTGTCCTCAGTGCTGTGATGCTGGGCCTGAGACCCTGGCTGGAGGCCACGTCCTCCTACTGCTACGATCTTGTACCTGAGTCACACTATGGCAGAGCCACCTTGCACTCATTTATCCTCCATGAAAAATGGCCTCATTGGATTTATCGATTGCTGATTAAGTACTCATGGCATGGAGGATGTCAGATACTGACTTTAGAGACGTCAGAGTCAGGTCCTTCCCTCCAGAAGTCCTGGGGCTGATGCAGAGAAACACGTATAAACAGGTACTTCAACCCAACACACTGCCCCAGATTGCAGGGACATAGAGACCAGGGCTCCAGATTCTGACTGGGGTGTCTCTCCAGGGTTCTGTGCAGATAGATTAGAAAGGGCAGTATGATCTTGATTCTTTTCTTAATTCCAAGACATCAGAAGTGTTGCTTATCTTTGCTGGTCGACATGTGAAGAAATTTTTTTAGGTCTGACATCCTTGAGAAGCTCATCCAGGCCTGCTCTAAGGGGTTTACCCAGGCTCAAGCCTTGTACCACTTTTTACCTCTAGCTGCACCCAACCCTTCCTTTGGAGTCTGGTTCAATCTTGTGGCTTTAACGCTAGCTCTGCATCCACTAGTGCCACCAGCTAGCCCCAGCTCAAAACCGCCACCTTACCTCTTTTGATGGTGTGATTTATAATAAGAGAGGTGTATTTGGCTGTAGTCCTTGATTCTGGCACAAAGCTGAAAAACCCTTGAAATTTCCTAACTGATGAGAACACAAAAGTGTGTCTTGTGATGTTATAGTGGTAACTTTAGGAATCAGTCATGACTATGTTATGAACCCTCCATAAAATCCCAAAGGACCAGGTTCAGAGAGCTTCTGGTTTGGTAAACACATGGTGACTTGAGATTGGTCCGCCTGGAGAGGTGATGGAAATTCAGAGCCCTCTCCCCACACCTGCCCTGTGCATCTCTTCCATCTGGCTATTCCTGAGTCAGAGCCTTTTATGTTAAACCATTGAATGATAATGTTTCTCTGAGATTTGTAAGTCACTTTGGCAAATTAATCAAATCCTCAAAGGGAGTCATTCGAA